CAATATAAAATATAATCCATTAACCAGTAAATCTTTTTGGAGCACCGACAGCTACTCAAGCAGCAATATAATGAATGTTGCAAATATAAGACAATGTTTTCAGTTGTGATGGTACAACAGTATATGTAGAATAAAGACAGCGTTATTGTGTCCATGATCGATGAAGCATAGCAAGTACTAAACAAATTTAACAAGATGATAAATAATCAAACAGTACACAAATTTGTATGTGCCAAATACATGGGCAAACCAACGCAAAATAAAATGTACCTACCTGTCGGAGCATCTGGTTCTCATTCTGGAGGGTGGAGAGCCTCTCTTCCATCTCCGAGTTCTTCTTCTCCAGGTCCTTCACCTTCACCTCCAGATCAGTCAAATAAGCCTTCTTCCTCTCTCTTGCCTGTTGAGCTGACACCCGGTTCCTCAGTAATCTTCACAAGTCACGAACATAGCAAATCAAGACAACTTCCAGACCCAAGACAGGATTTACCATAGTACACGTACATTGCAAATTTAAAACAGTAAACTAAAAAAAATAGAAGGTTGAGTTATTCTTAAATGGTAAAATAAAGAATAATCTGGATCAGGACAAATTTGACATTTTCCCATAATTCACATTATCGCAACACCAATTTAACGAGGAGTTCAAATTGCACACAAACAATGTTTTCCATAATTTGAGATCATATAAAGTAATTCCCATCCCTGATTGACTAAAATAAAATGCTACACTTGCAAGTGTGCTAACAATTAATACGACAGTGCTGTATCAGTGTGCAGTAGCATTGCTTCTCTAGGGGAAGCATTAGCATTAGTGTGCTAACGATTAATAGCATTCTTAGCATACCCCTCTATCTGCATACCCCTCTATCTTCTCTCGCACGGCATTAAGTATGCCCTGGTGCCTATCAGATATGACACCAACCTCCCTGCTAGGCCCAACCACATGTATCTGGACTAGCCTCAAGAACCATTTCCAACTGTCATTGTTCTCCTTCTCAACCAAAGCGAATGCCAAAGGAACCAACTTGTTGTTCGCGTTACAGGATATGGCTATAAGAAATGTGCCCTGGTATTTGCCAATCAAGAACGTACCATCAATGGAGAAGACGGGACGACAGTGCCTAAAGGCCTCGACACACTGAAGGAAGCACCAGAAAGCACGGAAGAATATCTGCCTCCCATCCTTCCATGCATTTGATTTTCGTATATACTCATAATGCATGCCTGGATTCACCGCTTTGATTGCATTGAAAAGTACTGGCAGCTGCTCGTACCCATCCTCCCAGTCCCCATATATCATCTTCCATGCTCGTTGCTTAGCCCTCCAAGCTTTACCATGAGTTATCACATAACCTCCATACAACGCCTCAACGGTCCTGATAATTGTCCTAACCTTCATGTTGGGTTCTCCCCGCAATATTCCCACCAACTGCTTGGCAATGAGAGTAGATCTCAACTGCCGATGCCTCAGTGTCAGCACATGGTCAGCACAATTGTGTGGCCTGACAACTTTTGTGATCTTCCACTTTCCGGTGACATTTTGCTTCCTTGCACAAACGATCCATGGGCAGCGTTCCTTATCACACACAACTGTGTAACGGCGCTCCGCATATGAATGCAAGACCTTGTAAGGTTTCTTTCGTATCACTGCAAACGCCTGCAACCACCTCTTCAATGCAGGGAGGTCCTTGAATACCCTCCCATACTCAATTACCATGTTAGGGCCGGCCTCAGGAGCTTATGCGAGCTCATCATCACGTCCTTCTGCACACGCCTGATCGGAATGAGCAAGATTGCTGAACTCATGAACTCTTGGATCACGGCAGCCGGGAAAGATACGCCTCAGCATCTCAACATCACTCTCTGTCAGCTCTCCAATAGGGCGATCATCATCAGAATCAAGAGCCCTTGCCATCTCATATGGCTCCAAATCATTCATAATTTCAACACTATTGGAGCCACGGAATCTATCTCCATAGTTCACTTGAGCAGCAACAGGGGGCACATCCATATTCTCAGGAATGTCTCCTGCAACATAAGTAGAGAAATGAGTAAAGAATGAAAGAAATGGATGTAAAGAAGGGGTAAGCTCCCAATAACCATGCGGTTAAGACACTTACTTGGATGATTATGTGTCAAAGGGATCTCATGAGAAGGATCTGCCACAACAACATGAGTCTGACAAAGCATCTTCAACTACCAAATTGGGGGCAGATTGAGCATCGGGAACCGTAGGTGCAACCTCCACATCCATATCAGGTTCTGGGATGGGAGGGTCGATGTGTGCCTACTGACCCATTGGTGGGGAAAACCCATGAGGGATGGGATCAACAAACATCCGATGAACAACCACGTCCAAACATTGCAGCTGGCTCTTCATTGCCGATCTCACATAGTTCTCCCACAGATCCACACATCCAATTGGAATCATTCGCCTAAGGATGTTGGGAGGAGAACCTAGGTGCAGTACACCCTCAACTGCAATGTCATCATCATCATCGCCAAGGCAATGCAGCTCCTCCCGAGCCCTTGCAACCATCTCACTAAACGATGGCTTCTCATTGAATAGCACAGGCACGATTTGCATGTTAACAAACTCAACATATCCATAATGATCGCTCTCAACGGTGCCTCCATGATATATGGTCACTAGGTTGTCCATCTATTTCAAACACGTAACGAAACACATGTCCTTTAATCCAAATTACACGATATATAGTACCTAACAAGTATTTTCTAACTACAAACTAAGTAAATAAGATAATAACTACATATATAAATACAGTGTACTCATTAAATAACCCGATCCTATTTAGTTAACTAAATATATAACTATCTATCTAAGTAGCTATCTAACTATATCTATGTACCTATGTTTCTATCTATCTACATATCTATCTCACTAGATCACTAACTAAATCAACTACCTGAGTCATCACATCAACTAGTAAATAACAAATGCCAAAACTACTACACTACAATCAAAGCTAACTAAGTATGCACATTGCAAATTCACAATTTTTACCTGTCCGACGATGGAGTCGCGGACGTCGACGGAGTCGCAGCGGACGTCGGGCGTGAGTCAGGCTGACGAGCCAGGCCGGCGGTGGCACAGTCGGGCGCTGCAGGTGCCGGAGCCGGCGGGGGCACGGCCGAGGACGGCGGTGGCGCGCGACGAGGCAGGCAAGGCGGGCGCGGCCGAGGCCGGGCGTGGGCATGGTGCGGCCACGGCACCGGCGCGGCGGGGCGCGGCCATGGCAGCCGCGGCCACGGGTGGCGCGGGGGGTGGCGCGGGCGAGGCCCTGGGGTCCTGCGAGGGCACCGGCGCAGGCACGGGGCGCTGTGGCGGCGCGGGCGTCCGGGCGCAGGCGACGGCGAGGGTGGCGGCGGTGCGCTGCTCGGGCGAGGCGAGGGATGTGAGAGAGAGAGAGAGAAGGAGAGGAAGAGAGAAACGATTGGGACCCATACGTAAGACATGCTCGGCACCAGTAACCCTGCCGCCGAGCTCGGCGCCATGATCTACGGCGCCGAGCTGCCTGCGATGTCACCGTCACGTTTGCTTCGAGCCCAAGAGCTCGGCGCCAGCATGTGTAAGCTCGGCGTCAACAACGATGACGCCGAGCTAAGGGTCCAGATTTTAAAATCTTACCTCCAGCGACATATTTGTGATTTTTTTTTAAAAAAGGGCTAAAAGTTAAAAAAATTCGGTACCAGCGCCTGGACTGAGACACCACAAATGATCTCTGAAATCCACCGTCCCGCTTGCAAGGCCTTGTGCAGCCGATTGCGTGTTCTGCTTGGAGTGCATGCACTTGACTCTTGGAGACCAGCTGCGAGAGGGACGAGGTCATCTCCGAATTTCAGGTTTTGAAAGTTAAAAGGAGTGCGTTGTCCGGTATTCGAATTTGATAGTGCTTTTTAAATTCAGCAAAAAGCTCAGGGAAGCAAATCGACACTACTAGAAGATTTGTGTTAAACTCATCCGGCGTACATGCGCTGGCTGCAGGCGCAACGGGGTCCGGACGAGCAGTCGAGCACAGACAGCTAAGCCTGTGTCCTTGCTGCTTCATGCTCGTACCATGAAGTAATAAGTATCTCACTTAGCATTGGCTTGCATCTAGGCTCCTCGTGGTCCTTGGCCGAAGCTGCTGGCAAATGGTCAAGGCAAAGAACTAACAGCACTGAATTGGGAGTAAGGATTGTCCGGACATGAGGCCCCAGCGCGGTGAGCATGCTGCAGGCTGGATGGATGCTTGGCGTGTTAAAAGTCCTTGACCCACGCTGCCGACAGCACTTCTTGGGCCATAGTTACGAAAGCATCGCCCAGGCCCATCAAGGAAAATCCTTTCAGGCCCAATTTGTGCGCCAATGCCTACACCGTCCTCGAGCACCTCGACTCCTCGCCGCGACTCTGCCGAGCGCTGCACTTCGCTGTTCATAGGTCGCCGTAGTCGGTAGAGGCTCTGCCAAGCGGAACAGGCCCTCCGCCTCTTTCCTCCGACGCTCCGAGCATGAACAGCCGGTTGATGCGTCCCCGCGGCCTTGGGCCTTGGCTACTGTCGTCTCCTTCAATTGGTAGGCTCCCTTGTTGCGCCATGGTCATTTGTCAATGAAATGTATTGCTTCATGCATTACCGATAGTTGGTACAAAATATTCTGAAGATAGGTACTAGTCCCACGTGCGCTCACAATATATTATATCTTAGATAAATCAGTATTATCTAGCACAAATGTAGTTAGCGTGGCCTAAACGAAGACACACATTCTTGCTCCAAACTGTAGCAGCTAGAGGTCTCTTGAGGTATTATATGGGTAGCATTAACAAGGTTGATATGTTTGAGTGAATTCTTAGCTTCTGCACATAACAAAGGCTCGATATCTCTTTCTTGTTCAAGTAAATGTTGTCTTTTTCTTAGCCTCTTTGTTCTTAGGAATTGTAACCTCATTTCTACTTCTTTCATAGTCAGTCGCTCTCCTCCATTGACCCTTAAGCATGCTTATGTAAGTAAGACAATTTCACTAATCTCTTCCTGGTCTGCTTCTTCCACAACTTGAGTAATCATTATTTCAATAAGAGACCCTTGGTGAAGTCCTTCAATGAAGAAATGGGACAAGCTTTGCTTTGCACCTAAATCATTAATAAAAATTGACTTCTTTCTTGTCAAAAGCTCCACAAGTATTACTCCAAAACTGTATACATCACTCTTCTCCGTTAGTTGACCACTATGATAATACTGTGGATCCAAGTAACCGAATGTTCCTTGAACAACTGTCACCACATGGGTCTCATCAAGTGAAAGAGATCTTGAAGCACCAAAATCTGAAACCTTTGTGGTGAAGTTGTCATCCAATAGTATATTTGAAGACTCGACATCTCTATGGAAAATTGATATTGTAGCTGCTGAGTGTAGATAAGCAAGAGCCCCTGCTGCTTCTGTAGCAATCCTAATGCGATCATCCCATGAAAGCAAGCATTTTAATGTAGTATTAGTGTGAAGAAGTTCATACAGAGTTCCATTTGAAATGAATTCATATACAAGCAAGGGCACCACATCTTCTAGGCAGCAACCAAACAGTTTCACCACATTATGATGACTGATTTGAGACAAAATGACAACCTCATTGATAAATTGGTCTATCTCTATTTGCTCCACTATTTTGGATTTTTTTATAGCCACCACACGTTGGTCTGATAGAATCCCTTTATAAACTATTCCATGTCCTCCACGACCAAGAACACGTGTAGCATCAAAGTTGTTAGTCGCCTCCTCTAGTTCCTCCAATGAGAATATCTTTGTTTTGCTTGTAGCGCTTTCATCTGAGATCAGTTGCTCCAATAGCAAACCTTGATTTTTCTTGAAGTATGCTCGTCGGATTCTCTTTTGGATGCCTTTCTTCCACTTATTGACAAGTAGAATTGCACCCAATGCAATAAATATGGAGCCAAGGCCACAACCAATTCCAATTGCAACCTATATGCATTTGCTGTGGTTATAAGACCATGTTAATGTTACAAAATGTAATTGCAAGGGGATTTTGTTTGCTATGACTTACCCAAAAGAAGGTTCCGTTGCTTAGTCGATATGACACACTGCCCCTTAATAGAATCAAATTCTTTACTGTGAGGGCATGGCGTGCATTTATAGCTTCTAGGGATATTTTCACATGTACCATTGCAGTAGTTTGGTAGCGAGCATTCATCAATATCTTTAGACATCTAATTTGTTATTCAATATTTATATTGACCGTTACAAATATACTCTCCCCGTTCCAAATTATAAGATGTTTTAGCTTTTTTAGATACATTGATTTTATCGTGTATCTAGACATTAGTGTATAAGTAAGTGCATAACAAAAGCTATGTATCTAAAAAAACCATAATGTCTTGTAATTTGGAATTGTGAGAGTATCATATATTCTTGTATTATACTATGCTGAAAACAAATCCAATGTTTATATAATTTGATCCGATTTTCGAATTACAGCTCTGTTAGAGCATGTGATCCGACTAATATGCATTCCATTTTGGGTATGAGTGATGTAATGCTCTGTAGACGTACTGAACTACTGATCGATGAGAGGGATGTACTTTTGCAGCCGCCCTGTATGTACGGATTTCCTTGGAAGCCGGAAGAACAATTGCAACGATACCCCATAAATATGCCCCCATGGGTTACGTGTAGACAAGAACTGTTTGTGCTACGGCATGCATAGTTGCTATTATTCTGCTTAGCTTGCTGACAAGTTGAATTGGTTATTGCCCATCTTATAACAATGTCATATTCCATAGAAAAATCAAATTGATCTTCGACAGGGCCCTCGAAGTCAGTATCTCCTTGCTCGTTGGTATTAACTATTACCATTTCTTTCATGGAGCTTGCATTGTTGTTTAGTGTGTTGCTGACAATCAGAGTCCCATCTTCTACGACACATTAATCACGTGATATTGTGCCCTTCCTGAGCTGAAAAGTGTAGTGTTACCTGCTGTACAATTAAGCTTGAACCTTTTGTTTCCATAACAATCTTCTTCGAGGCCAAAAGGGAAGGGAATGGTCATGTTTCCACATGACCTCCAGCAATGCTCTTTAGGCTTCGGGTTGTAATCTGCACCATAATAAATTGACAAGGAGTAAGAACAAGATGATTGAAATGATATTTTTAGATAAAAGCTAGCAAGTAGAACCTTGTTTCAGCATGCATTGTTGGCCCACAGGATCACCGGCTCAGGTGAATCGATCACTCACCAGTCTTGTCGAGCACCCGCTAGTGTTGCCGAGCACCCACTAACCGTGCCGACCATGAAGAAGCGTTGTCCGTCCTCACACACTATGGCTAGAGGTAGAAGAAGAGGGAGAACAGAGCATACACACACAGCAGAGACACCAGTGTTGGCCGGAGCCCTGTATAGGAGATGGCAAATCTGAACTCTCTTTATTGACTTGCAATTGTAAACTATATATACAACTCTATCCATCTAGTCCTAGTACAACTGCCATGCTGCAACAGTGACTAGATAACACAGCAGGGCTAACTCTGGCATCGGCCCCTACATGTGGCTACAGTGCTGCAGGTGAGCGGTTCGGCGCCTACACCTGCAGCGGCTACAGTACTACAACAGGGGGCCTTTTCGGCGCCGTCTTCCCCTGCTGTGTGTTCACACAAGGTAGCAATAGATTATCTAACAATCTTCCCCTAATCCTATTGCTAACCCTTGAACCCCCTCCATGCCGATCATCTCCTTCAGCTCCGTGAGTCGAAGACGTCCGAGCGGCTTGGTGAGGACGTCCGCGAGTTGTCGACCAGTTTCGACGAACTTGATGACGATCGGCCCTCCATCGACACAGTCCCTGAGGAAGTGGAACTTCACGTCGATGTGCTTGCTCTGGTCGTGCAGAACCAGATTCTTCGCTTGGGCGATGGTGGGTTGGTTGTCCACCATCAGTGCTGGTGGGTGAGCTTCCACAACGGTCAGCTCGCCTATCAGCCGGCGCAGCCACACAACTTGGCACGCCACTGTGGCCGCCGCTACGTACTCTATCTCGCACGTAGAAAGCGCCACCACTTTCTGTTTCAGCGACAGCCATGAAATTGGAGCCGACCCGAGGAAGACGAGCACGCCAGAGGTGCTCTGTCATCCGTCGATGTCCCCTTCCATGTCGGCATCGCTGAACCCATCGAGCTGTAGCCTACTCCCGCCGGTCTTGGGGAAGATGTTTCTCTGATCTACCGTCCCCTTGATGTAGCGCAGTAGCCGCTTCACTGCAGCCCAATGATCCTCTCTGGGATCCTCCATGAAGCGACTGACGTAGCCTACGGCGAACGCAATGTCCAACCTTGTGTGGACTAGGTAGCGCAGACCGCCGACGATGCTCCGGTAGAGTGTTGCATCCACCTTCGCCGCGGTGCTAGCCTTCGTCAGCTTCAATCGCACCTCCATTGGAGTCACGCATGGCTTGCACTCAGCCATGCCGCTCCGCTCCAATAGCTTTGAGGCATACGCGCTCTGATCGAGCGTGAGTGCCTCCGTCCCCTGTCTCACCTCGGTGCCGAGGTAGTAGGTGAGCGCCCCGAGATTGCTCATTCGAAAACGAGCTGCCATCTCGCGCTTGAATCTGTTGATGTCCTCCGCACACACGCTGATGATGATCAAGTCATCCACATACACACCGACGACGAGCTCTTCCTTCCCTTGTAGCCGCGTGTAGGGCACGTGCTCGGTTGCGCACCGCTAAAACCCAAGCTCGCCCAGCGTGGCGTCAAGCTTGGCGTTCCATGCTCATGGGGCCTGCCGTAGCCCGTAGAGCACCTTGCGCAGTCGGAGCACCCTGTGCTCATCTCCCTTGATGGTAAAACCCGAAGGTTGCCTGATGAAGACCGTTTCTACCAGCTCACCATTGAGGAAGGCCGATTTAACATCCAGGTGATGGACGCGCTAGTCTTTTGCTGCCAATGCTAGTAGCAAATGGACAGACTCCATGCGTGCTACTGGCGCAAAGACTTCCTCGAAGTCGATGCCCTCGCGCTGTACAAAGCCTCAGGCCACGAAAAATGCCTTGTGCTTGACAACGGCGCCGTGCTCATCCCGCTTGACCTTGTACACCCACTTCAGGCTGATCGGACGGCATCCTGGAGGTGGATCGACGAGCTGCCAAGTCTTGTTTTTCTCAATCGCCTTCATCTCCTCCAGCATTGCTCGTCGCCAGTTTTCATCGCGCTCGGCTAGCGCGAACATGGGTGGTTCCTCAGCACTAACGAGTAGCAGCTCAGGGTCGTTGAGCAGCCTACCTGCCAGGCCTGAGGGACCTATGCCGCCGATGATGTCATCCAGCCTGCCGAACCACACCTCCTCACCTCGGTGGTAGGCGTCCACGAACTCAGTGATGTCACTTGGAGGTGAGGCGAACTCGATCGGTGTCGATGGAGTTCCTTGTTCCGCCGGAGTGCTCGGCACAGCACCTGGAGTGCTCGGCACCCCAGATGTAGTGCTCGACACTACTTCTAGACAGCTCGTCACAACTCCTGCAGTGCTCGGCACGACTGTAGGAGTGCTCAGCCTCAGTCTTGGAGTGGTCGGCACCACTGTAAGACCTCTTGGCTCCGCTGCGGGAGTGCTCGGCACCCGTCCTGGAGTGGTCGCCGCCACTATAGAACCTCCCGGCACTACTCCTAGCATGCTTGGCATCCCTCCAAGAGTGCTCGGCACTCCTCCCGGAGTGCTTGACATCCCTCCTGAAGTGCTCGGCACTACCCTAGGAGTGCTCGGCTCTATCGCTAGAGTGCCCGACACCCCTCCCAGAGTGCTCGTCACCTCTTCCCCAGCGTCTCCACTCCCGTGGATGACCAAGTGCTTGACGATGAAGATGCTGGTGAAGCCGCTAGCTTCCCCCGTGCGTGGACTGTTCTAGTCCCAAGCCGCATTCTCATCGAACATGACGTCACGCGAGACAAGCACCTTGTCTCCGCATGGGTCATAGAGCCGGTACGCCTTGGTACCCTCCGCGTAGCCCAAGAACACCATCGATGTGCGTCTGTCCTCCAGCTTGGTGAGGTTCGGCTTCGTCTTCCTGACGTGGCCGATGCATCCGAATGTCCGGAAGGAAGGACACGCTCGGCTTCCGTCCATACCAAGCCTCGAACGGCGTCTTACCCGCCAGGGCCTTGGTGGGAGCACGGTTGAGGATGAACACCACCATGGTCACTGCCTCACCCCAGAACCTTGCTGGCATTCCCTTGGCCATCATCATGGATCGAGCCATGCCGACCACCGTCTGGTTCCATCGCTCCACCATGCTATTTTGTTGTGGCGAATATGGCGTGGTGTGGTGTCACACCACACCCTGTTCCGCGCAGTACGCAGCGAACTCCATCGAAGTGAATTCGCCACTGCGATCAGTCCTCAACGTGCGGAGCTTCTTGCCGCTCTTGGCCTCCGTGCACATCTTGAACTTCTTGATCGCCGCTGCCGCTTCGTCCTTGCTTGTCGGGAGTTGCAGCCACATGTAGCGACTGCAATCATCCACAAGCAGGAGGAAGTACCACCGACCACCGTTTGTGGCTAGGGTGATCGGCCCGCAGAGATCGCCGTGGACAAGCTCGAGAGCGTCCAACGCGCGATATTTCCCCGCCTTTGGGAACAGCAACCTCCTCTGCTTCCCAGCCAGGCAGCTGTCACATAGCTCGCCTCCGTGCATGATGTGGGGTAGCCCTCGGACCATCTTCTCCAGCTGACCAAGCGTGTCAAAGCTGAGATGTCCGAACCGGGCATGCCACAGCCATGGCTCCTCGGTATGCCTTGCCGCTAGGCACACCGGCTGCTCCACCTTCAGGTCGAGCAGGTACAACCGGTTCTGTGACCTCTTCACCTTGGCAAGAAGTCTCTGCTCTCGGTCCCTGATCCTAAGGACACTGTCCTTGATCAGTACCTTGCTACCGCGCTCATCCAGCTGGCCAATGCTGATGATACTCGAGCGTAGCTACGGGATGTAATATACATCCGTTAGCGCGCGGTGCTCCCTGTTCTGGCACTTGAAGATGATGGTGCCGCGCCCTTACATTGCCACCCTTGAGCCGTCACCAAACTTCACCGTACCGGTAACATCGTCGTCGAGCTTCGAGAAGGCTTCCTTGGAGCCCGTCATGTGGTAACTGGCACTAGAGTCCAGGTACCACCACTGCTCCTGGTCGATGCCCACACGTCCGAGGTGGACTTGGGCGCGTAGTTCATCGAGGTTGGCAGCCTTCAGGGCCTTCCCAGGTCCTTCCACCTCCTTCACCTCTTCCTTCTCCTCGGCCTCGACGTCGTGCAGTGCACAGAACGTCGCCATTAGGATAGTGGCATCATCCTCATCATCAGCTTGCGCCAGATGAGCTTCAGCCTTCTTCTCCTACTTACGATTTGGGCACTTCCGTGCCCAATGGCCCATCTTCTTGCAGCGCTGGCAGGCGTTGGGGTCGACCTGCTTCTTCTTCTCCTAAGAAGCCTTGCCGCGGCGCTTGCCATCGCCACCACGGCTGGAGCAGGCTGCCTTCCCAAAGTTCCTCCGAGTAGCCCACTCCTCTTCTGTCCTTCGTTGTTGTCGCCTGCTCTAGGCGCTCGTCCACCGCCCGCAGATGGCCTGTCACATCCTCAATGGTGACGGTGGACAAGTCCAGCATCGTCTCTATGGAGAGACCGATTTGGATGTACTTTGTCGGCATGGAGTGGAGGTACTTGGAGACCGCCTCCTCTTCATCGATGGTGATGCCGTGGCTCTTCAGCTTGCTGATTAGCGTACTCCTGCTTCAGAAGCTGGGCCATCGCCTTCTTTACGCGGTCGGAACCGACGCGCATCGCCGCAATAGCCTCCCATGCCCCCTTAGCAGAGCTCTTCGCCCCCCAACGGCTTCCTGTACTCCGCCGATACAGAAGCGAGGATAGTCTCCAACGCTGACATGTCATCTTCCTCATTGTTGGTGCCCTTATCAATAGCATTCCAGAGCCGTTGGGCTCTGAGGTTGACTTTCATGGTCACCGACCACTTTCCATAGTTGGTGTGAGTCAGCGTCGGCCAACTGGTGCCACTGACCTCCCGCACCGTGCGAACAACGACCTCCGGTCGTGGTTGGGCAGCCATAGCAGTGCCATTGCTGTCGCCCATCTCCGAACCGTTCGTCATCGCCAGCGGTTAGTACGGCGATGGCGCTTGTACGGCTCTGATACCACTTGTTGGCCCACAGAATCACCGGCTTAGGTGAGTTGACCACTCACCAGTCTTGCCGAGCACCCGCTAGTGTTGCTGAGCACCCACTAGCTGTGCCGACCACGAAGAAGCGTTGTCTGTTCTCACACACTATGGCTAGAGGTAGAAGAAGATGGAGAACAGAGCATACACACACAGCAGAGACATCAACGTTGGCCGGAGCCCTGTATAGGAGATGGTAAATCTAAACTCTCTTTACAGAGTTGCTATGGCAAACTATATATACAACTCTATACATCTAATCCTAGTACAGCTGCCATGCTGCAACAGTGACTAGATAACACAGCAGGACTGACTCTAGCGCCGGCCCCTACATGTGGCTACAGTGCTGCAGGTGAGCGGTTCGGCGCCTGCACCTGCAGCTGCTACAATACTACAGCAGGGGGCCTTTTCAGCGCCGCCTTCCCCTGCTGTGTGTTCACACAAGGTAGCAGTAGATTATCTAATATGCATCCATCTGAAAGGTAAGCATTGGACGTGTAAAAATCATTGGAGCAGTCGCAGGTGTAACCTCCATGTGATGCATTTCTACAAATGCTGTCGGTGCCACCACAAGCATAGCTTGCCTTGTTCATCTGCGCGATTTTGCAGCTTGGTTGGTCCATGGTGGCAACCCAAAGTGCAGCGTCATCAATCTTGCTTGCATTTGTCCATCTTGAGAAAAGATCAGTCGTATTTTCCATGTAATAATCTCTAATCGACATGAAAGCCATGATGCCAGGGTGCAGAGGATATGACTGTGCTGCCATATAATCAGCCCGAACAATTGTTCCTTGAAAGCCTGAGATGTCGTTTTGTAGAGTGATGGAACAGCAACCAAACCCATTGCAAGGCCCTTGATTCGGCAATACCTTGCCGTGGCACCTGCTCATGCAGGAGCCGATAGGGTTCCTTACATAATCGAACAAGTCAACATCAAAATCGCAGCCAAGGAAGAAGAAAGTGTTATAATTGAACAAGTCAGCATCGAAATAACCGGGGATAGTAATACCCTTGGCGGGGGCATTCCAAGATATATTGTGGGTGTTCGTACCAGATTCTTCCAAGCTACTGTTGAAGAACATAGCTGGGATGTATACCGAGGAACCATAAATGTAAGTAATCTGAATTGTGCTGTTACCCAGAAACAATTTTGGAGGTTGAGTGGTGTGGTTGCAAGTAAGCTCGAACTGGAAGCCTTGTCGGAAGCAGCCGGCCCCTATGCCGAAGGGGTAGGAGATGTTGATGTCCCCGCAGCTGGAGGGGCAGTGACTAGCTATGGTGGCAGCGGACGGGACATACCGTATCCCATGGCACAAACCATTACTCCACTCGAGCTCATCATTAAGCCAATCAGCTTGTCTGCGTGGTGTTTAGTGTCGGGATTATATTCTGGGTTACCGGAACTACTGCTCATATTTAAAAGCTATAGATACGGTTTCGTGCAAGCGCAGACATCTTTGTATAAAAGCGTCATGAAAGCAAAGATTCTAACCCGCCATAATTCCACCATCCCCATCGAGATGTTACGTTAATTATACCGCCGCCGCCACGGCGGCCAAGGTCGTCGATCGCTAGGGGTGGACTCGGACTGTGAGTGCCGTGGTAGTTATATGGCCATATATCACATTCATCATTCATTCATGCGTGATTGAGAGTTTACTGTATGGACTTTGAATTGCCACTTAGTCACGAGTCAATCAAAATACATTTTTGAAGTGCAATTCTTGCATATGTACTCTCTCCGACTCCGAGGCAAATCATAGTTTCTTTAGCTTTGTTCTTTTTTTTTCTATCTTTGACAGAGTTTTTAGAGAGCTATAGTAATATTTACATGTTCAAATAAATACACTACCAAGACATATTTTCATTGACAACTAATTTGATGTTGTAAATATTGATAGCTTTTTCATAAACTTGATCAAAATCAGAGATGTACGACAACACCAAAATAAACTATAATTTGAAAAAGATGATAAGGCATACTCTTGGTGGGAGTTAGTTATATACCATCAAAATAAAAGGCCCACTTTGGTTTGTTTGCACATACTGCAGCTTCATATTCGAGTAGGTATGTAATATGTATTTGTAGACTAAAAAAGTGGGTTGTATATAAATATTCATACTTAGTGGTCTTTCCGTTCTAAATTATAAGTCGTTTCGGCTTTTCTAGATATATAGCTTTTACTATACACCTAGATATACACTATGTCTACATATAAGTAAAAAGTATAAATCTAGAAAACCAAAACACTAGTAGAGAAACGACTTTTGATCCACTTCGAAATTTGGCTTTAGTCCTGGTATTTTTCGCGTCCGTGACTAGAGAAACCTTTAGTCCCGGTTGGTAGCTCCAACCGGGACTAAAGGTCCCTACCCAACGGCTACTGCAGCAGGCTTTTGCTGCAGGGGACCTTTAGTCCCGGTTGGAGCTACCAACCGGGACTAAAGGTTAACTTTTACTCCCGGTTGGTCTCTCCAACCGGGAGTAAAAGTCTACTCCCGGCTAGAGACTCTGTCCGGTATTAGAAAGGGACCTTTAGTCCCAGTTGCTGTCTCCAACCGGGACTAAAGGTCCCCTCCTATATACCCCTTCTTCCTCCCCGAGTCCGAGCCACTTCGAGCTCAGTGTTCTTGCTTCATCGCCGGCCTCTCTTCTTCCTCATCGCCGGTAATCACAAGATTTCTTCGATTCCTCCATCGATTCTTCGGTTCTAAAGGTTACCAACTTTATACTCTCATGTTTCATCAGTAGCATATTTCATTTTGTGGACTAGATATATGTGGTTTTTTATGGTGGATTTTTTTTATTTGTAAGCCATTTAAGCTCAAAATCACTTTAAAGTTTGCATATTTGGATGAAGGAAGGTTAAAGTAGTTATTCAAAACTAGTATTCAGCTTTCATTTCTAGCATGCATAGCACACTTCATGGTTTAGAGATATAGAGAATTTTAGAGTTTTTTTAATTTTATTTGTTTATAAAATGAGAAAATTATATTATATTAAAAATGAGTATAGAGAGTAGATGGCAACTGCTTCCGGGTTCTCGGCCTCTCATCGGGTTCCAAAGCGACTGAGGCCGGACCTCCCTCTCATTGCATGCGGCAAGTGTGAGGAGAAGATTGTGATGGAGTACCGGGTGAGGAAGGAGTGTCCCAACAAGGGCCGTATCTTCTACAAGTGTCTGGATCGCAATGTGAGTTATTTTGTCGCATTTGATGATTATGGTTAATTTATACTTATTTTCATGATGATTGTGATTAAAGTTCTAATTTTTTGTTTTAATTTCAGTGGGATGGCACTGGATGTTCAGGCTGGTACTGGGAGGAAGAGTATGTTGAACACGTGCAAAACTCTCTTGCACAGACAGCTATGGCGGCTGATGAGGCAGTGATCCTACGGAAGAAGCCCATAGATGTTGAACAAACGCATGATCTGTCTATTTTAGTTAGGATTGGTCGCGAAATCCTTATGCCGCTGAAGTGCATTTTAGCTTTAGTTTTTTAGTGGTAGTTGAGATTGTCTGCATTGTAGCGAGACTTTCATAAATTAATACCTTATGTGGTGGCATGCATGTCGTATAATTAACTAATTATGTTCTAGGTTTTAATATGGTATGTATGTCATGTAATGCAGATGAGCTGGCATTGGATGTACAATGCTGATCGTCGCTCCCAAGAGTTCATTGAGGGCATGCATTCTTTCTTACGTGTGGCCGAGCCAAACAAACACGATGGTTTCATGTGCTGCCCATGTGCCATATATAAGAATTTGAAGGAATATGCTAGCTCAAGGAGTCTTCATTCATACTTGTTGAAGTCGGGTTTCATGCCAAACTATATTTGTTGGACGAAACACGGAGAAACCAGAGTTGTAATGGAAGAAGGTGAAGAAGAACAATGGGACGATGATGACATTATTGCTGAATATGGTTCCTTTAATGATACTGCAATGGGGGAAGCTGAAGAAGAGGTAGGGGTAGAAGATGAGCCCACTAATGATCTTGGTCAGGCCATTCGTGACGCACAAAGAGAATGCAAAAGTGAAAAAGAGAAGATCAAGTTCGAGCGTATGCTAGAGGATCACAAGAAATTGCTATACCCAACTTGTGATGCGGGGCAGAAAAAGTTGGGTACCACACTGGAATTGCTGCAATGGAAGGCAAAGAATGGTGTATGTGACAAGGGATTTGGGGAGTTACTAAAAATCCAAAAGAAGATGCTTCCAAAGGATAACGAATTGCCCGCCACTACGTACGAAGCAAAATAGGTAGTCTGCCCTTTGGGATTAGAAATCCAGAAGATACATGCATGTCCTAATGACTGCATCCTCTATTGTGGCGAGGAGTACGAGAAGTTAGATGCATGCCCGGTATGTCATGCATCGCGGTATAAGATCAGGCGAGATGACCCTAGTGATGTTGAGGGCGAACGTCCCACGAAGAAAATCCCTGCCAAGATTATGTGGTATGCTCCTATAATACCACGCTTGAAACGTCTGTTTAGAAACAAAGATCATGCAAAGTTTTTGCAATGGCACAAAGAAGACCGTAAGGTAGACAATATGTTGAGACACCCTGCTGATGGGTCCCAGTGGAGAGCAATCGATAGAGAATTCCCGGAGTTTGCAAATGATGCAAGAAACTTAAGGTTTGCTTTAAGTACAGATGGTATGAATCCTTTCAGGGAGCAGAGCAGTAGTCATAGCACTTGGCTTGTTACTCTATGTATCTACAACCTTCCTCCCTAGTTATGCATGAAGCATAAGTTTATTATGATGCCAGTGTTCATCCAAGGCCCAAGGAAACCTGACAACGACATCGATGTGTACCTGAGGCCACTAGTTGAAGAACTTCTACTTTTGTGGAACAGACCAGGTGTATGTGTGTGGGATGAGCACAAACAGGAGCACTTTGACCTACGAGCATTGTTGTTCGTAACAATCAATGATTGGCCTGCTCTAAGTAATCATTCAGGACAATCAAACAAGGGATACAATGCATGCACACACTGTTTCGGTGACATTAAAGGTATATTCTTGAAAAAATGTCGAAAGGTCGTGTACCTTGGCCATCGTTGATTTCTTCCTGCGAATCACCCCCTAAGAAAGAAAGGCAAGCATTTTAAAGGTAAGGCAGACCACCAGAAAAGACAGATGATGGACGCCATTACTTAAGTCCTGCCAGCTACACTCTTAGCAAAGAAGAGAAGGAAAGCATGTTTGAATGCCTAGCAAGCATCAAGGTACCATCTGGATTCTCCTCGAATATAAAGGGTATAATAAATGTGCCAGAGAAGAAATTCCTAAACTTAAAGTCCCATGACTGCCATGTGCTCATGACGCAATTGCTTCTAGTTGCATTAAGAGGAATTTTACCTCCAAATGTACGTCTAGCCACCGTGAAGCTATGTGCATTCCTCAATGCAATTTCTCAGAAGGCAATCGATCCAATGGATCTAGCTAAACTACAGAATGATGTGGTTCAATATCTTAACAGCTTTGAGTTGGTGTTCCCTCCTCCCTTCTTTAATATCATGACACACCTCCTAATTCACCTGGTCAAGGAGATTAGCATTCTCGGTCCTGTGTTCCTGCACAACATGTTCCCCTTTGAGAGATTCATGGGAGTCTGAAAGAAATTTGTTCACAACCATGCTCGGCCAGAAGGAAGCATCACTAAGAGCTATGGAACAGAGGAGGTCATTGAGTTTTGTGTTGACTTTATTCCCGACCTTGACCCGATTGGTGTTCCTGAATCGCGACACGAGGGCAGACTAAGTGGAAAGGGGACACTAGGGAAGAAACCATATATTGGTACGCAGGACAATTATTTTAATAAAGCACACTACACAGTTTTGCAAAACTCCTCCTTGGTGGATCCGTATATCAAGACACATAAAGAGTTGCTCTGATCCGAGTTTCCAGGGAAGTCTGAAGCTTGGATTACGCGTCAGCACATGGAAACTTTCAACGACTGGTTGTGAAAAGAATGTTAGGGTGATGAGAGTATTGATGAGCAACTATATTTGTTGGCTAGGCAGCCATCGTGGCATATCCTCACATACAAAGGGTACGAGATAAATG